TATAATAATGTCTCATTTGATTGACAAATTAGAAATATTTTTGTCTTCCTCAACAATAACATAAATATTTATAAAAAGTACATGTATATATACGAAATAAGATAATCATATGAACCATCTTGAGCATCTTCATAAAGACATGTAACCAAACTTTGTCTGAACTCTAGCTTTAAAATGTGAATGATGATTTTAAAAAGTATTTCCCAACATTATGCATTTTTTTGGAAAAATTAATGTAATCTAGAGTAATCATGATTATTACAGAATGGAAAAGTAATCAGATGTAATTGATTACTTTTAAGAATGACTGTAAATCAGCTTGTAATGGATTACTTTTAAAATCCAAAGTAATTGTAATTTAATCGATTACTTTTGAAAGTAATCGACCCCATCCCTGCACCCCAGGCCCTCTAAGGATTGGTTGGGACCATTTTTCGGTTTAAACTTTTCATTAGTAAACTGATTTCTACTTTTTTCCTAGCCACAGTGTGGTTAGCAATGTTGCCCATGGGCCTCTTGTTAAAGATTTTCCGATATATTTCTTAAGTAAAACTTGGATTACTTATTGTTGCCCCATTCTATCCCTGGGGGGCCATGATTTAACAATTTACAATCTACACTACCCCAGGACAGACCAACGATGGACAAAGGTTGAGCTAAAAAGCGATTAATATTTAAAAAAAACATGAATGTATACTTTTCAGTAAGCTTTTTAATTTACAAAGTTTTATCCAGACTGACAAGTGGTTTTTTGAGAGAGTTAGGAGCACATTACAAATTTATGCTATGTAGCAAAGCTGTACATCTCATTATTTCCATTACAAACTAGAGGTACTGTGAGCAATGAACTCACTTAATGATACCCCCCGCCTTCCATAATGTCCATGTTTTGCTATGTATTGTTTTACGCTAACGTGTAAAGAGGAATAACTCGTGATGTGTAATGTTATTCAGAAGCCGTCATATCTTGCGTCATAGGTGAGAATATAATGGCCATGTCCATGTTTTGCTATGGTAAAACCTAAAATACGTGTCGGATAAAAAAGTAAAATAGGAGGTGCGCAACGGCAATATGTAATCAAGATTCTGTGAAATTTTCATTAAATTTCACTCAGTGGTATAAGAGGAGTTGCGGATAAGAGATGGGTGCCCAAAAGCGTAACAGACAGACGGACGGACGTACAGCTAGACGTACGGACAGAGTGAGACGGACGGAAGGACATACCAATTATACCAGTATACCTTCCCACTTTTCGCCCGGGGGGGGGGGGGGGGGGGGGGGGGTATAAATTAATTAATAATTAATCAACTGTTAATGCTACAGGATATCACCATTACTTTTCACCTAGGTATCAGTGGTACATAACTGACACAAAGAATGAATAAGATGTTACAATAAGCAATTGCAATTCATACCACATAATTAAATCTACCTTTTTTATTATATCAGAAGTGATACTGTGTGTAATACACATAAATGTACATGTACCAGTTAGGCCAAGCTTAAAAAATTCTTTGTTTGCAGTTGCCGACCAATAATTTTTAGACTGGTGGTAGGTGGGCATTTTTTTTCAATAATAAATTAAGATTTTTGTTAGAAAACAAATAATATAGCTGTTCATAGGCCTACTAAACGTGAGTAAGCTCCACTCTTGTTCTAAACCACATACTAGATGATAAAAACAAAAGTCAAAAATTGAAAATGAAACAGTTTCAATATATGCATTCTGAAAAATTGAAAAAAAAAAAATTACAAAATGGCTGAAAAAACGTTTGGGTCGAGTGCATTGTCAGTGGGTTGGTAGGCAAATGCAAACAAATAAATCTTTATTTTAGGTCCTATATTCATTAAACTCATTTATAGCCTGGTGCAAACAGGATGGGACTTGAAAAGCCTTCAAGGCTTCAATATATCAAAGATAAAAAATATAACAAGAGGCCCACAGGCCTTATAGGTAACCTGAGTATCATGTAACAACATTCCAACAATTGAATTGGATGGTGTTTTAAACCCGGGGCCATGAAATTCAGGTTTTTGAATGAGGCAGCACTGCTTATCATAACTATACACTTGGCATGCTTACTTTGGTTACTTTATACCCAGAGGCAGATCAAAGTAAAAGAGAAAATAAATTTTCACTTTATAACCATTTGTGCACCCCTCCCAGCAGGAACCCTGACCTTGGGGCCACATATTTCAAAATTTGGAAATTTTATCATAAAATTTACTTCATCATAAATGGTTGATTAATACATGTACCTAAGAGCAGATTTCAAAGCATTAATTTATTTTCAGACTATGTACCCCACCTACCAAATACCCCTGACCCAGGGTTCCTGAAATTAAACAATTTTAGAAGAGGCAGCTTTCTTCAATATAATTATGTACTTAGATCATTGGCATAAATAATACCCAGGGGGATTTTCTAAGAATTCATACATTTTTCATACATTTTCACTAAATAATCATTAGAGCCCTGCCCAGAACCCCTGACCCAGGGGCCCTAAAATTCACAAATTTGGAAGAGGGATCTGGATCCCTCATCAAAACTACATCTATGTAATACCCAGGAGCAGAGAAGATTTTAAAGAAATTATGCATTTTCACACTCTGATCAATAGAGCCCCACCCGAACACCAGAACCCTTGACCCTATAAGGGCCATTAAATTCACAGTTATGGAAGATCAGGCACTGTTATTCAACATAGCTATGTATTTAATGTTTAGTGTTTATTTAATACCCTTTCTCATCATGGCTATATACTTGGATAGTTTAATACCCAGGAGCAGAGAAGATTTTCATAGAATTAATACATTTTCACTATATTATCAATAGAGTCCCACCCTAACACCAGAACCCCTAACTCAGGGGCCATGAAATTCACAATTTTGGAAGAGGGAACCTTAAATTCAACATAACAATGTTTTTGGTTATTTTTTTTAATGCCTAGGAGCAGAAAGAAAATTTTCAAAGAAATAATGCATTTTCACTATATAATCTATTTAGCCCTGTCCTTGTACTAGAACCCCTTATCCAGTGTGGCCATGAATTTCACAATTTTGGTAGAGGGCTCAATGCTGATAACAAACATGCAAGCAGTTTGACTGCTTGAAATGAAGAAGATTTTAAGAATTGCACAATTTTTGTGGTTTTGGTCCCACCCATCAGGCCCTATGAGGTGGGGGGGACTATGAAATTTATAAATTTTCTTTCCCTTCAATCAAAGATGCCAAAAATGGTTGAAACTGGTTAAGCGATTACAGAAATGAAGCTGAAAATGTTCAAATGTTAAAGCATGATGCACAGCGAACAACGGACAAAAATGGATAGCAATAGGTCACCCGAGTGACTCGGGTGACCTCAAAACTTGAAGAATAAGTATTTGGGACCTCCAAAGCACTTTGACATACAATACATATATAAAAAGCATACAAGGCCATCTTTAGCAAATTGTTTGGTTTCCCTCTCCTGACCAACTGGTCAAAAATGGCAGACTCAACTTTTTTTAACCTCCAAGATTTATTTTTTCTTCCTTATTTTTGAATTTTTCCTCTCTGTCAATAAATATGTTGAATTTTTCTGAGAAAAAAGATTTTTCCCACCTACCTACATGTACTTACCAATTTTTTTTACCTTGAATCAGGAGAGGGCAAACAAACATTATTTAAAAGATGGCATGTTACAAGAAATAATAGTTTGACTGAGAGACAAACAAGTGTCATTATAAAAAGCTGCAGTTCTGCAGGTACAATTATGACGGTATAAATATACAGCAGTTACAAGTATGTGACAGTTAAATGACAATCACACACAGTAATGTAACATTTCTTACAATTACTATATTATTACAGTCTTTACAGAATTAAAAAAGATCAGTAAATCTAAGTTATCTCCTTTTGAAAGAGGGTTAGCCCCTTAATGAACAAAATGAATCCACTTCACCCATTTATAGATTTATAGATTGCAGAGTAGAGAAGTTGGTCCAGTAGAAATTTCCAAATTCATATCAAAAATGTGTTTTATTTTGTCTGTGTACATACATTAGTATAAAAGGGATCAATTATCAGTTATTTAAATCAATAGAGCAATAAAGTATTATGGTATTTATTTCTAATATATTGCCTAATATCAGTAGAGATATTATATTTCTTCAATTTTTAAACTGTTTGTGTTCAAGGAAATTGATTGTCAGTGTTCTTTGACAAATATACACACATTAATCAAACATGTGTTAAGTTCAGGTACATAAATGTATGACGGTCGAACTTTTTATTTCACATTTTCTTCCACTGATTGATGAATTACTGCATATAACTTTTTTAAAGCTTTTTTAAATTAAAAAAAAAATTTTTTTTTATTACATGCATTTTTTTTTAAGGTTCATTGATACTCTGACAAGAGAGATAACTCTTAATGACCTAAATATATATTATTCCTTTATAGATTTGCCAAGTTACCCAATTTTGCCCTGCAAGCTATGCTAAAATTGTTTGCATTTTACTTATAAAATACATTTCTTTTGGAAAATCATTAAGGTTTAAGGTAATTTTATAGGAGTGAGCAGATGGTTTATGAACCTTAATTATGGGAGGGGGAAGGTGGAATTACACTTGCTAAGTCATATTCTTTTTCTTTAAATTTTATTTACTTAGTAAATATATGTAATAATAAATAACACAAAGAGAAAATTTTTCTGTTTTTAAAGAATCAGGGCTTTTTTTAAGGGGGGGGTGTATTTACATGTATGTAATTTTAAAATTATAAGAGGAGCAATTGAGTGTATAATTTTATGATTTCCATACTAAGTATAGAGAAAAACCTTTTTTCATGATTTTGTGTAAAATTATAAAATATTAATAAAGTGAGACTTGACACATTTAACATTTGATTTTGAAAAAGAAAGTGAAGTGTATACATGTATGTAAAAGCAGATAAACCCCAACTCTCCACAAAAGGATGGGTATATATATATAAAAAAGAAAAGAAAAAGAAACTTACTTTTAATAATCTGGCTGGCCAGGTTGAAGTAATCGTGGTATAACTGGTACTCCATGTTGAGATTATGATGATTTTTTTTCAATAAAACTTCAATTTTGGAATTAAACATTTATATTACAATGGGCCTATTCCATCTTCAAGGGGTGCAATTACTCAAATTTATTGAACAGCTTGTTTGTATTTGTTAAAATTTCTTCTTTTTTTTCAAATTATTCCTAAAGAAAACACATTTCAAGAAAGCTTGTATTTAATCAGCTAAAACAATTTTGTCTTTTTTTTTATCTTAAAACTTGATTTATGGGAATTTAGAATACTGTATAAATATTTTTTAACCCCTGTTTAATTGTAATAGGATCACCCAGTGGGGTTTCGGAGGATCAAAGTAGCGGCGGGCGTCGGGTGGCTAATTTTCCCGCCCAGAGCGCGTGCCCTTACAACAACATGAAATAAACGTTATGCTTTTGTTGTTTGAAGATGAAAGCATAGAAGTGACATTACTGGTAAAATGATGAGCAGACAAAACCCTGTGATGATTGATTCTAAAAAGTGAAGCCGCAGGAAAGGGATATCAAACTTCTTTTTGAAATTCTTTTCAATTCTCTTTTTTCCATAAATTCAAATCTTTTTGGTTATTTCAACAATTTAAAATGTCATTTTTCTTAAATTTTTTATTAATTTTGATTCTTTCATTAATTCGGAAATATAAATTCTTTATTAATATTGCAAGTAAATTATACGGTTGAAAATGCATGTACCGTACATGTACATCGAATATGTAAATCACGTGTACATCCTTATCACGTACAAGCATAAACGTGTTCATTTTGCATGCGTTGTATATGTACATTGTACTTCGTGTGGCATTCTGGAAAAAAAAAGCATTATTTACTTTTAATCTTGATACTGTTCTATATATAGCTTAAAATAAACAAACTATAACACGAGATTGAGTGTAGATAAAAATATTAATATTTTTTTACTTTAAAATTTTAAATTTTTCACGGATTTGACTAACCTTTGAATAACCTAACGTTTCTACAGTTCATGTACATGTAAATTTGGCTAGAACCCTTGTCTGTTCGGCATCTTTTACCTGGTTGGACCCCCACCCCCGCCCAACCAGCACATACAGTATATATACATTTACAATTTATTAAAATCATTAAAATTGCAATTTATTAAAAATGTTACCACAATAATTTCTCTCAAAATTTTATTTTTATTTTAGGAATGGTACAAAGACGATTGAAGAGCAACAATGAGGGTAGCCAAAGGGATGGCACATTTCACAGGTACTCTATGTTGGATTTTTAAAAATTATTTTTTAAATTAATAAGGCATTACCGAATATTGGTACATTACATGTATTAAATGTATCTTTGTAGTAATAAACCGTCGGCGACTCTTAGCGCGGACGAATCTATGATTATCTGCTGGCATCCGGAACCGAAATTCCCTTACGAATGTTCAAAGGTAATTCAGACCCTAAATCTCCTTTTCAGCAAAATTTAATCTGAACAGTTCTTTAATTCAATCTTGCATCCAATGCTACACCTGATAAGTCGCGAATAAGATAAATATATAGATAAAATATATATTGTTTTGTTTGTAGTGTTTGTTTTACATGTCTAACATAATTGAATTAAAACAAAATATAAAATTATTCTTTATAATTTTTCAGCCAATGCCTAGAGACACAGAAGATATGACACAGGTAAGTGTTACGGTAAAATATTAATGCTACGAAACTGTCGTAATATATCTCAGCTGCTTTTAAAGGTGTGTCCGAAAACTAGATGTGATGATATATGCAGATGATTACTCCATTCAGTATTTTTTCCTCTGTTTACTTTAAAAATATTTTATTTCTGATTTTGACATTTAATTTACGTGTAACTTTTACACGTATGAACTTTCCTTTTGTGATTTAATCAAAAGTACATGTATATGTGTCACAGATTCCCCTTTACCCGCATGAAACTAAATAAACACACAAAGGGGAGGAGGGAAAGGGGGTGGGTGGGGAGAAAATAGAAACTAAGAACTCAAACCAATCTGTAAATAGTTTTTTTTCCCTGACATACAACTTTTAACAAGCGTTAATACTTTTCTGATTTTAGGGTGATTCGCCCTTGAAGCTTCAGTATATAAAGGGTTACAAACTGAGACACAGACCGACCGGTCCCACCGTGTCAGAACTCGCCAATATCTTCTACACTACAAAACACCCCTTCAACCCAATGTAAGTATTGTCATAGTTTGACTGCTTTCTTGTACATTGTACCACGATTTTGATTTTTTTTTTACCTGAAGTGATTTATTAGGTCTCAATCAAATATGAAAAAATGGCTAATGTAATGTTGTGAACTTTTACCCAAAATGAGAAGAATTTTGATGAAAAAGAAGCTGGAAGTTAAAATTTGATTTTTTTTTCGTTTTTGAAAATCAGTTCTAAATTTTATTTTTTTTCAGACAAAGAACGAGACGAAGACTTAGAAATCAGCCTCCGCCGGACCGCGAAAGCATCTGAGATACTGTATCTAAAATGTTAACAGAGATATTAAAGTCTGGAAAAAATTTCAGTTTGCTCTCTTTTAAAAATTTATATTTTATCAATATAGGCTGTGCTGTTCCGGTGCTTCGGTGAACACGTTTCTCCCGTAATCACGTGTTAATCACGGAATCACGTGTTAGAGGTTATTGTGGAGCACCAGACTAGAGTAGCCTTTTGCTACCTTGAATAAACTTGCATGGATGATGTCGCCAGAAATACAGTCGGCAGGGTATCATGGGTTTGAAGTATCTTACACCCCCCCCCCCCAAATGTGGGGTCAAGCTTCCCATGCATGCTTTATCAAGCATAATTTGTCTATGACGTTATAATTTCAGGAGCAGGATCATTTTTGAGCCCTGTCTGGATGGTGAAATTTGGAATACGCATTGTTTCAGCTACATTTATTTCCAAAAATCCATTATCCATGCAGTGCTCGAAATTGCTCCTCCCGAAATTACAATTTATATATTTTTTCGACGCATCACATGTACATGTGTATTGAATTAAGTTTATTCAGGATACAACTTTGGGCAATGCAGTCCATCAGTTTACAAAATGACAAATATGACATACAACATATAATACAATCGACTCTCAATGAATCTAAACTGGGGGGTGAAACCCCAGGTCAAGTGTTCCTCAGTCCCACAGTTCCACTCATCAGTCTTGCCTCGGACACTTCTCTGAAATATGAAACTTAAAAAGGCTAAATTACACAACATTAAAATGAATTCATGGAAAGTTCATTTTGTATGAAATTTCATGTTGAGGTGATTTATTGATACCAAATAAGTCTTAAAATTGTACGACTGGTGTGTTCTTTAATTCAAAATTAGGTTCAGCACTTCATTTTTGAATTATTAAGGTAATTTTTCTTCTAAAAGTGGGGGGGGGGGGGGGGGGGGGTGGCCATTGTCGACACAGTTACACATTTTTTTAACCTTAGATTTAAACCCGATATTTTGATCGTTTAGTAAACAGTTTGACAGATAGGACAAGTGCTATTTTTATTATGCCTTCTATTTTTTGGATTTTTTTTTTTGAACTTCAGTTCATAAATAGCTTTGATTTTTATTTTCAGATTCTTCAAATACATTGTAAATCATAATCTTTTTGACACCCTTTCAAGACATGGTAAAGGAAATGCTATTAAAAGGGTATACAGGTCACATGTCGTTAAAAAGTCATTATTTTTTTTATAGACTTAAAAAAAAGAAAAGAAGTGTGCAATGTACATGGATTAATTATTCCAAATATCTTCTGCGTAAAAATAAACAAGCCTCATTAGAAGGTGCACATGGTGTAATCTATTTTAGTGATGTGTAAACCGCATATCCAAATCAACTCCTTTTGTGATTTATAACTAAAAATTGTAAAAATCACATAAATTAGGAAAAAATTCTTATTATCAATAAAAAAAATCACTAATTGTCGAAGTCTTTAATCCTTCTTTGTTTCATTGCTGTAGACTGATCATTAATGATCATAATTACGCTTTCAGATTTTTGTTGGTGTGGCTGGGAGGCCCAGGGGGTCCTCCTTCGGTGTCCAAAATATACATGTATACGATTTAATGAATAATTTTTTGTTGGTGTGGCTGTGGGCCCCGACCAACCCCCAACTCCCTTTACAAGATTTCTGGATCCGTCACTGATAGCACGCATATCAAGAGGTCCCAAAACAGCTTACCTTTTCTAATGCTTAAGGATCATTTACAGTATTACATCTATTTGTATTGTTTACAAAATTTACGAGATCGTTCCCTGTTTGCTATTTCACATTTTCTTTATTCATATTCAGTAAGATCAAATGTGAAAACTTTTTAAAATAAACTTTAATAAAGATCATAGTTATATACTGTGTAAAAGAGTATCTTAAAACGAGAGAGAGAGAGAAAACGAATTTAAGACATCGATGAAGGAAACACAGGTATTTATTATGCAATATCAACGGATTCTGAAAATTCTAATTAAAGTGTGATATATGGTATCTTTTTGATTTTTCCGTCTTAATGAGTGAAAGAAAAACGTCAAATTATACAATGATATATTTGTATCCCTTAGATTGCAATATTCATTATATGTAATTAGACCCAAGATTATATAAATATAACTGTTAATTACTGCTCAGAAGGGAAAAAAATAAAATAGCGCAGAAACATCGGCCTCGAGATTGGTAAGTCACCCTCAATATTTATCTAAGATGAAAAGAAAACTGAAATTATTTAAAATAATTACATTGCATATATATACGTAATGTAGAAAAATTGGTCACGTTAACTAAATTCTTCTAAGAACGGAATCCTTTGATCATAATTGTTTATCTAAAATTTCTAATTTCTCGTGTATTTAATTTTCAGTGGGTGATTTTACTAAATATTAAGACTAAAAAATCAGATGTTTCTATATGTACATGTAATATATCACGACTGGAGAAAATATATATGTTATGTAAATAAATTAATGGAGTGAAATACGTAGTATGTAGGCCTATTTTGTCTTAAAGTAGAGATATTTCTAATAATTTGAAACAAAACATGCACGGAATAAAAACAAATTAACCTCAACTTATAAAAATTAAAGGAGACACAAAAAAACTTCTCTAACGAGACTTTCAAAATTGTCTTTGGTGTTTTCTAGAAATATCGCCCTAACAAGAATGTACTTGAATTTTGATGTGTGTAAAGTTCTGCTTGGTTAATACTGAAAAAAAATTCAACAATAAACTTTGCAATGTTTTATTTACATGTATAGTTTTATTGAGTCTCGATTGAAAAACATAGACTTCATATGCGAAGTGTAGCCAATATTTTGACAATAATTAAACCATAAAAAAATCAGTTTTGTTATTATTATTAATTTTTTTTTTTTTTAATTTGGAGATTAGATATTAAATGGTGTATGTTTACTTGTGCGCAATAATAAAAATTCGTGAGAGACTGGTCATTAAAATTATGCATTAACATTAAATCACATTCTGCCATTTTTTACAAATTAACTGCTTTTGACAAATGATAAACGAATTTATATGTAAAATGATCTATTTTTTGTACATACATGTATATATATTTAAGCAGAATTTCTAGTTTCCAGCATTGCCTCACTAAAAAACAGACTATGCGGCGTTATCTGGTGCTAACTCTGTTGCTGGTGTGCCAAATTGCGGAGAGCCAAAAGACTCCGAAAAAAGCAGGTATTCAATATTTTTTTCTTCATTGATAAAATAAAATTTAAATAAACATTTTAAAGAAACCAAACTACTTTTTCAAATCGTATGGATATCTGGAAAGGACTTAAGATTTCATAGCGAAAATTTATATTGATATGAATATAGGTTGCTATTTGTATCTCTGCCTTTCATGTCTGAAATGACCCCCGGTACATTTCTTTGAAGCGACTCCTGAACCCCCAGAACCCACTGAAGCCCCCGAACTTCCAGAGGTCACCTCCACACCGAGTCCGACCGGAGGAAATAAATTCGGGGCATCAAAAGCATCAGCAAAGGGATCAGGTATGTTTACAAAATACAGTTCTGTTTGAATTCATCCAGTGCCGGATAGAGATACTGATAAATCCCGTAAAAGCAACTTTAAAAATGTTCAAACTCTGAGGTGGGGTCAATATTCAACAAGGTCTATTTTCACATTGAACATTGTGGTCATCAGGGATAAAAAAAAAAAAAAAATATCAAGCTCTTAGTGAATGAAATGCCATCATTTATAACATATTGTGTCAAATATGAAAGCCCTACCAAATTTCATTCTAAAGTAATCACCAAAGTAATTTTTTTGAAAATTAGGTCATTACAACGTTACACCGGAAAACAGTATAAAACGAGTAGAATTAATTTTGATGCTTAACAAATTCAAAGAAGTGTGGTCCCCCGTTTTTGAAGCGTTTTAATGAATGAAATGCCATCATTTATTAACATATTGTCAAATACGAACACCCTATTAAATTTCATTCTTAAGTAATCACCAAAGTTAAATTATTTAAAAATTAAGTCAAACATGAAAGTCAAGGTCATGTTAACGTTCGGAAACATCTTGTCACAAGTAATGCACATGTCTAATATGAAAGTCCCATCTCTTCTCAATCAAGTTATAAAAAAGATAACATTTTTGAAAAGTAGGTCAAACTTCAAGGTCAAAGTCATAGTGTTGAAAATCATAAAATATTTAGAAAGGTCTTGTCACAGGTAATATTCATGTATTAGTATGAAAGTCCTGTGTTTTCTCTTTCAAAATTTAAATTAAGGTTAAAATGTTTGAAATGTAGGTCAAAGGTCAAGGTCACGGGGTCAAAAACCATAGTATATTTGAAAAAGGTCTTGTCATAGGTTAACATTTTTGTGACATAGGGACAGACGAATGAGATTTTATGTCCCCTTACTTTCGCGAAAGCGGGGGGAGAGTACCGAAGAGCCAATGTACATGCATATTCGCAAGCCACGATGTTGTGTCCATTCTATTTCCACAAAATAAAATGGACACAAAACTCTATGCTTGCGACGATGATGTTCATGAAAATTCTTTAACTCCATCATGCAGGTTACATACCCAGTAGTATATATATTGAAACAGAAAACACAATCTCTCTCAGAATAAGATAGGTTTTATTTGAATCGAAATAATCACTTTGCTGGACTAACTCTAACATTTGGAACCTTTAGCTGCCGGTTCACCTGCCCTGGACGCCAATGGCGAACCCATAGAACCACCGGAACCGACAGATGCACCCGAAATCACCACCAAACCGGTGGTGGCAGGCGCCAGCAACACGAGTGGAAGCAACACAAAAACAACAGCTGCCAAAACCGATAAAACAACAACAATCGCGCCACAAAAAGCGAAAGGAGGCGTGGCCAAAAAAGCAGAAAAAGGTGGGGTCAAAAAAGCAACAATAGTCGGGAACAAAAAAGCAACAAAAGGCGGGGCCAAAAAAGCAGCATCAAAGGCTAGTTCTTCATTGCCATCAGGTAAAGGAGGTTCATTTATATAACACAACGTAAATTTATTTTACCCAAAAAATAATTAAAAAGCTTCACGGTATTGTTGGGCCAATCCAACAAACAGGTGAGGTTGCGCTAAAAGCGAAAACTTTGTTAAAACTACATGTATAGTGATGGATCCAGAAAGTTAAAGGAAACATGGGGATGTTTGGGCAAAAGGCATGATATATCTTCAGTTAAAAAAAGATACATGTAACGAAAGACAACGAAACCATTTGGGATTGGGGTGGGGTGATGGGATGGTGGGAAGGTCTGTTTCGAGAGAACTGGTAACCATCCCGAACTTTAGTCATTTTCTCGTCTATTTTCTGTATTGTCATGTTGTAAATTGTGTGTTTGTTTTTTTTTTGCTGTTTGTAATACATGTAGACCGCAGTGTTTCAAATTGCATTATTTTGTCAAATTTGATGAAAGTTTGACATCTGGTTCTAAAACTGTGGAATGTTTTTAGCACCGACAACTGCAGAACCGCCTGAGCCGACCGAAGCTCCAGAGCCTGTCCCTGGGACCAGTGGCCCCAAAGCCGGAAGTGACGTAGCCAATAAAGTGGCCTCAGGAGCAGGGAAGGGCGGATCACCCAAAGCCGCTTCTTCTGCACCAGCTAAAGCCGGTATGTATAGTATCATTCCGCAATTTTTTCTTTGTCAAAATACCTTCAGTAAATTTTTAAATCATGTATTTTTTAAACCACTGTATCATCTTAAAAGGGCTCCACTATACCATAGGTACAATGAAGGCGAGTATAGTGCTCATCATCTGCAGGTCTGTAGGAACCAGGGGCACGGACGCTTGGGGGTTCCCAATTAACTACCAGTATATACTACATGTATACAACAGAAAAAAATACAGTTCTGTCTCCTTGTAAAATGCCTCATAAATTTTGTTAACTTGAGAGAAATGCAAAATTTTTTTTTAGGTTGTGTCTTTGAAACCAAGGAAAATTTTGCTTATTTTACCAATTTCATAAAAACTACTAGCTAGCAACTTTATTTTTGTCCAAAAGGAAAAGGGTATAGTAAAAAATATGTAAATCGTTTAACCAGAATTTTTTTTTGTCAATTTTTTAAACTTTTCATGATTTTAAAACTGTGGCTATGCATTTATTCTATAATTCATAGTAAAAAATCACAAAAGTACTAATTCAACAGTACTCAAATTTCTTCAGCACCAGCTAAAACCGGTATGTATTCCGCAAGTTTTATTTGTCTTAACCTTATTAGATTTTAAAACAAGCCGAAAAAAGTAATAAATCAATAAATAAATAAATGCCTTATGTATTGTTCAATGTTCATAGGCGTCGGAACCTCGCCTCACTAACCAAGTTAAGGGCACACCACCAAGCTTATTTAATACCCTTGGTAGATTGAACAGATTAAAGGTTTTCGGCTTCCCAGGTTAAGGTGTTTGGTACATTTTTCTTTTCAAGGACTTCTTTGCCTTTCATTAATAAGAGATGCATGGGATATACTTTCACAAAATGTGTTTCATTATACAAACTGACCAAGGTTTCAGATGCTGCAATATCAGCATAGGAATGACCAGATTAATGGTTCTGAGCAGGTTTAAGTTTTAGGTGCAGGTCTATTACTAAGAACTTATAAGATCTACAGAACCAAACTTGCATAGACGATGCATCAAGGAATGAACTTGTTTCAGATGCTGGATTTGAATTAAATTTTCTTTATAGTGATTGGTTTGAAGTTTTTAAATAAGTCTATTCCAAAGTAGCAACAAAATTAAACCCTTTTAAATCAAATTGAATATTTGTTGCATCTTGGGATATGTACACTATTAGATTCATATTAGTTTAATGTGGAGCTCTGTACGTAATCTCTGATTACCTGTGTTCAAGATTATTAAAGTTGGGTAAAAATTTGACCTGTAGAATAAAGGTATTTTAATAAATGTTTCAGCATCGACAACTGAACCCCCTGAGCCAACCGAGGCACCGGAAACACCGGAACCTGTAGCCGAGACCAGTGGCGCTAAGACCAAGAGTAAGGGGAGCAAGATAGGGGGCGCCTAGACAGGGACCGGCACCGAAGATATACAGTCTAAACATCAGACAGAACTAAAGAAGCAAGAGAACTCCTATACCCACAGGAGAAAGGGAAATCTAAAAATCTCGAATTTTTATTGAGTTCAGTTTAATGAGAAGACCTTTTCATAAGTCCCCTATAAGATAACATTCACTTCATTAGTATGTCTCAGTCATTTTACGCATTTGAAGTAATGAGTATATATATATGTGATAGATCTTTTGCAAAGGCCGTATTTTAAAGAAATAAATATATAAATCATCTTCGTCTCTTTATTTTGCTCTAATCGTGATAGATTAATCGGTCAAGTACTGGACGACTTTAACCCGACCAGTGTCGACTTCTCCGACCCAGACGTTATCAGAAGGGTCGACATCAATTCCACACACTCCTGAGAAGTTACAGTTGTCAATGTAGCAGAGAAACTGTCGATCTTTGTCGATCACGTGAATACAGTCATTGTCACCGTCGGCTATAAGGATGTGACCTTGACTGTCGGTAGCGATGCTACATGGAAAGAACGTATCGTACTTCCGCTGAGACATCAGGTTGCTGTAGGTGAATTTGAATTTTCCCGCTTGATTTACAACAACAACGGTATTGGTTCCATGGTCGGATACGCAGATGTCATGGTTGACAGCATTTTCTGCAATAAAAGTCGCATATTTATACAGAGTTTCCCCTCGTTCATCGTACTGAATGACCTTTTCCGGTTTTGGTTGTAGCGCTTCTAATGACGAAATTTCTTGATTTTCACCATCTTTTCGCTTGATGATCCCATACTTTATTACTTTACTACGTCCTTCTAGGTCGTTGTACAAAGTGACTAAAATCCCATCCTCAGATGTCGTACAAATTCCCTGCGGTCTCCAACCTTCATATCGTAAAATCACCCTCGTTTTGTCGGATTTGATGATGTTGGCCGTTCGTTCTATACTGTCACAATACAGAAGCTCTCCTTGTTTACTGACTGTTAAGTCGTGGGGGACATATCCCGAGGATGTGTAAACAACTTCCTTTGCGTTTCCGTCTAAGTCAATTCGTATTATATTTTTCTGGTTCCCGCTCACCCAAGCTTCGCTGGTGTCATGACAACTCACCCTCTGAACGTGTTCGAAAGTGCTCTCTGTGGTCGCTGTCAACCTTGGCATCAACAAAAATTCTTTTTCTTCTGTTGATGGATTCTTTTCTTCTTTATTCTCTAAAGAACTTTCCTTTTTGTCATCTTTTGTCTCTAGTCTTCCGAATAGATTACATAGCTCGTCATTCGTGAGTTTAACTCGCCAAAAATCGGGGACAGAAACGCAAAATTCTGATTTCACTTTTCTGAATCTATCCATCTCAGAATTATACAAGAGTGCCTGTTCAACATTGCTTGATTGCATAAGCCTTTTGTTCTCCTTGATTAATTCTTGAATTTCATCCAGCAAACTTGTGGATTCCGATATGCGATTCTTCAGTGTAGCCAAGGACTCTTGTTCCATTTTTTCTGCTTCATCTTCAAACATTTTGATTACGACATCCACCATTCGATGTACTTCCTGTCCATGTTTCTTTATGGCTGATTTCAAGATCTGGTATTCAGGAGCAAGAGTCGACAATCGCAACTTCATTCTAGAGATAATATTTTGGTATCTCGGAACAAATTCCATTTCTAAATCGTTTGTATCTTGCTGAATAAGATCCAGTTTAGACTTAAATACCTCCATCAAATCCTCGAAATCATGAAACTTATGAAAAGTCGTTATACATTTCGAACACACTGCAATGTTACACGTTTGACATTTTAGCTCGCATTTTGCATTTCGGTGAAACTGACAGACAGGAAGCACTGGTCCTGATTTCCGGTGTACAAAAGTTACAATTTCGTGTGTCGTTGGGGTTTTAGATACATGTCTTGATACACAATGTCCACATAGTTTGACGTCACATTTGTTGCATTGAAGTTCCACGGAGTTTGCGCAGAGGTCACATTTTATTACATCTTGAGCTCCCTTTAAGTCCTCCAAAAGAGCAATACCTTTTGTTGCGGATGCTATAGCCATGAATTAAGTTTGATTTACAAGCACCTTGTTAAAAATCCTCCTAAAATTAAGAAAAAAGAAATTATTATTCATTTTGCTTCCTACAGCTTTTCGTCTATTTCATATTCATATCAGGTGTCATTTCTGACCTTAGACATTTAAGATGCGAAGAAAATATCATTTTCATTAAAAAAAAAAAAACCCTTAGGAATGCACATGTGCCGAAAAATGTTAATATTTAATTATTTACGTAGGCCTAGTTTACACAAGGATGATGGAAATCATTCTTCTGAAAAACTCTATTTCACAAATCAATTCCTTAAAAAACAACATAAAACATGCAAACTTACGTTGTACGAGTATCTGTGGGCGAGGCAGTCTGTTGTGTATACATACAACTATTCAATGTCCCTCAAGCTTTATTTACAATCCACTTGGGCACTTATAATGAACGTCACACAATACGCTTGAACAAACCTTGTTTTATTTAATGGTTTTGTTTCCTGAATGATGGTGTGTGCATTTAGAATACTTAAACGAAATGATTATGTTTTCGTTCTTTTCTCACTTCCTATTCGAGTGATACATCGGTGGATCTAAAAAAAGGGGGGGGGGGTGTTGAAGAAATTACAAAATGCCATGCTCTTAGATGATAGCGAAACTTTCAAAATTTTCTTCAGAAATTAAATAAAACTATAACACACAATTTTCGTTAGGGAAGAAAAATACCATTGCATATGTTGATAATCTATTGCGCCTTGATTCATGTACAGTGTCTAACAAAAATGTATTAATTTTTCAAAGCAGAAATATACAGTTACTTGAGTGAAAGATGGAGATAACGAACAGTTGTCAAGCTCAAAGGACCACAGTAAAGCAGTACACATCGGGAGCAGAGCTAACACGGAACTCTATAAATATCAGAGACTGGATCAGGTGCCACGGAGGAGTAACCACCCCCTGCCTTAAATTCGTTAGACAATTCATTGTGTAGGCAGTATGGAAAATGTCTGTCAGCATTCGACTTTATAATAAGATTGTTTTGCTGACAAGATCATTGTATCGACTATAGATCTTGCGAAAGGATTGTGTTAATTTTCTTTCAAGTTCACTGAAATACCCAGTATAGTGAGTCGACACATGAATCAATTTTTTTGGTTAACGTCCCTCCCGAGAATTGTTCACTCATATGGAGACGCCGCCATTTGCCGGAGGAGAGTTGCAAAATTTTCTCGGCACTCAGGATCTCTGAGCAGCGGGGGATCTTTTTCGTGCCAGTGCTTCTGCAACACTGGACCTCTGTTTATGCGGTCTCATCCGAAGGATCGGTCTTCACGTCCCACAGTGGGATTCCTGCGACGTAAGGATCAACTCCTTAATATTCCGTGACTCTATAGCAGACGCTCTAACCACTGCGCCACCCAGTCGACAAAGATTAAATTCCAGCTGAACATACAGAACAAACAACTTTAACTACTTTTAAAATCTTGAAGATTTTATTTAATTCAACAATACTTAAAAAAAAAAAATAGGTAGCACACATAACGGACAATGATCATAATAAGCATCTTGTTAAAGTACTGTCCCTGTTAAAATAAGAGTTATGGGGAAAAAGGGGGAAGATTTAGAAGACAATCCTATCAAAACAAATTAAAACAAGAGACCCATGGGCCACAGTGCTCGCCTGACGACATATATTGTGGCCCCAGTGTATAAAGATTTGTACGACTTACAATCTACATTACCTGCAAATGCTTTCATATACACGTACTACTTTTCATGACTTTGCTGTTCTTGAGAAGATTTTAAAAGATTTTTTTTTCACACACCCCTATCTAAAACTTTGATCTTTTATTGTGCCCCCACCCTGCCTTTGAGGGTTATGATTTGAGCAAACTTCTAATTATGCTATTTCAAGATGCTAAATATTCTTGATCATGGATCAGTTGTTCTCAAGAAGAACACTTGAACTGGGCTACCTTCTGAATGGTCGTTGTAAACCTACCCTATCCCAAAAAGTCATGATTTAAACAAACCTGAAACAGCATTATTTCAGGAAGCTTTATTTTTTTTTTAATCTTAATCTTTTTTGCGAGCCAGTGGTTCTTACAAAGAGAAACTTGTGCATTTCTCACAACCAATTCTCACTATTTCTTAATTATTTTACCTTAGGAGAGAGCATGGATCTTCATTAAAAAAAAAAAAAAAATACAACCCTGAATCCCCAACACTCGAGTTTACTCTGTGTCAAATTTGTAGTTCTTGAGAAGTTGAAAATGAAAAGTTTATAGCAAGACTTTGAAAGACAACAGATATATTGTGATCAGAATAGCTCACTTGAGCCTCAGCTCAGGCGAGCCAAAATAAAACCTCTCACTTTTGAGCGCAAGCAAATCTATACCAAACATGCTATTTAGTACTCATTACATCAGGTAAATATCTTGTGCATTTTAATTACATAGTTTTTGATTGGTAATTAACTGCAAATTTTATGTAATAATTATTTTTATATATATATTAATATAAATATATATTTAAATACAAAAGAAATGTATTTTTTAAAATCAACAAATCTTTGGACAAAAAAATATTATTAAACTATTTAATAAATAGTCACTTTATATGTAAACCAGCACCCAGACTTTACCATGAAAATCAAATTACAAAATTTTATTAAATGAAAACAAAATTGTCTTATTTGTTCACAAGTAATGTAATTAATACATTTTTGTTTTTATAGTAAATACTTACAGAAACACAATAAGAGTGAACACCATAACAACTTATTCACAATTTTAAAATTAAACTTCTTGAAAAGTACTGTGAACTATAACCAAGAATATCATTATACATTGTTAATTGATATTGAGTGTTCGATATTTTCAGTTTTGGAAACCTTACTCTGAGCACATTTGATCTGAACATAAACAAGGTGACCATAATTACATGCATCAGCATAAGTACTTTATATTTTAATCTTCAGTATTGAAAAAAAAAATCTGGAATTTTATTCCATACAATATATATCATTGCGTCCTAATCCAACTAAGATGGAATCAAAAGCATTATGCTTATAACCACAACTTCCGATTGAAAATGCATGTAGGAATAAATTTTCAAGTCCTGTAATACATAAATGCTAAAATTAAAATCATTTTATGATCAACTATCTATCATAAGAAAATAATTCAAAATCAAATTACCGGTGCATATGCTTTCTTGTGTAAATACGGTACATATGCTTTCTTGTATAAATAAATTTTATATCACTAATTATTTCATTGAGTAAAAAAATAAAGTTTGAGACTAGCTACCATGTTAATTAATTATAACTTGAGACAAATAAAAGCTTTAATTCCCATGACTGACGTTAACAATTATAATACCCATCATATATCACTTACTCAGACAATAACAACAAAGAGGGTATATATAAAACATCACAAAACAAACGGTAAACTATTATGCACGCTTACAGCACCATCAACAGTGTTATGTGTGTGTGTATCTGTGAGTACTATATAGTTGATAGGAGTTTTTCCCCTCTAGTACTATTTTCACCCCCCTCCCCTTTACACTTGCCTCAGTTCCAATGAGTGCGAAAAATGAAACTGTGACTGAAAATTACAGTAATTACCATTAATTAAATAGCATCTTTTCCCCAAGGGTTTTTTCTTTATCTATTATCAGCTAACATACTGGCTAATAACAATCATGTATGAAAAATCTTTTGTTAATTCTTACCCATGAAAACCTATTCTAGACAGAGACAAAATAATAAAAATTAAACAAATACACAGATGCATCCAATTCAGCAAAGGCAAAACAGATGTAGCACTCACAAAATGAAAAGACAATGTTTCACTGCAATATTTGACTCCATATTCTTAATAAGTTACCCCCCCCCCCCCCCCCCAAAAAAAAAAAGATTAAGAATATGGTTAACAAAATTGTTAAAATGTAAAGCCCTCCTTTTCTCCATTTACCAATTTATACATGTACATATAAGAACATTTAAAAGTTGGACAAATTTAACTTGCAAAAGCACTCATCTTGCATTTTGGGGGCAAAAATGACAGTGGGAAGATACAAAATAACTATTTAATTATTATTCAAGTATTAGGTAATTTAGAAATATGTAAGTGTATCAGACCTTAGAAGCACCAGCCATTATATGGATAACATTGCCATCATATTGCAAGATTAAGGATAGCACCTGCTAGATCATTATGCACCAATAAATTTCCGTGCCTTTAGTCTTTGAAAAGCAAATTTCGTGAGGACTTCTGGAAAGAAGGTAAGATACACAAAAACAAGGAAAGCTATATTTTACTACAATAGTATAACAACAGTGACCATCTGCACACATCAAAAGCAACCGATTTTTTAGCCAAATAATTAATGCTCATATTTGGCACCATGAAGGTCCTGCATATGAAAAGGGTGGGTACTCATATCATAGTTCTAAATATACCATCTCCATTCATGTTAAAATCCATTCATATGCATCAACACCTTTGACCTCTGTTAATAACTTGATTGAATTATGGTAAATGTAAAACAAAAAATACAATCAAAACATATAAAGCAATGCAGAGACGAGGCACAAATTACAATGTAACAAAAAATTTACAAGAGTCAACCATGTGTTTTTGTTTGTTTTTTTTAACTAAACACTTTAGGATTTCACAAATATGAAAAAATGTTCACCTGTTTTCTATACATCAACACCAATAATTCACTACCACCGGTTTATCTCAGAATATATGTGCATGGACCCACAATACTATAAAATCACATACTTTCAAGGGGTCAAAAATTTTCATGGTATGAGGAAAAATGTTGGTTCATGGGGATTTGATTTCATGGATGAAGATCTTTCTAGTATTTGTATTTTATGAAATTTTACACTACATGGTAGACAAGAATTCGTGGGTCTCTTCAAACCTCAAAAACAATGAAAATTAAACCCCCGTGAAAATTAGTGATTTCACGGTCATACCTGTTGCTTCTTTACATATGACCAAATATAGAACTGAAATACTTGAAATATAGTGATTAAAATGTCTGATGTTCTCCTATTTGAAAACCATACAACTTTAAAGATACTAACAATATACCCATGTTATAAATACATCACAGGAATATAGCATATGTGAAAATATATTGCAACAGTTTATAACATATACTTTTAAAATATATCTTTTATTATTTTTTGTAGATACAATAAAGTAAAATTATTTTTTTTAAAAAGATATTAACAAAAAATTGATATGCAGTAGTTGACAATTTTTTTTACGTAATTTATTTCAATACCAATATTTTTCCTAATCAATTTCAAGAGGAAGAGCATTTGAGTGTAGACATGAAGTGGAATCTAAAATCAACCCTGACGTCATTTTTTATTGGTTAAAAATGCTTTTATACCTGATATTCCCAAAAATATGTGGAATGCAATGACAATGTCCAAATTAGATAAAGAGAAGATCTTGATTTTTTAATGAAATTTTTAAAAGAAAAGGTCTGTTTTTGATTAAATTCAATGATATTACTTTGATAACGAGAAACCATTTTTTATGACTTGCTCCTCAATAAAGATTTTAACATCCTACTTTCTTGTAAGATTGCTTAACCATCATTATTGGAAAACAGAATTCAATGAATTCTTTAACTGAATGTTCCAAAGACATATATACAAGAAATGTTCAATCTTAAATGTACACCCTCTTGGAAATCGTTAGTTTTAAGGTTGATAAACTATTGCATCATAAATAATATGTTTAACTTTATAGTAAACAATAATAGGATTAAAAAAAAATTGATGTTCATTATTCATAATTTAATCATTTCTACAACAAAAAGCTGGGAACATTTTTTTTTCTTGGAGAAAACAACAAAAATAACAATCAACAAAGGGATGACTAGATTTCTGCTAGACTTCCATCCTTTTGAAGGGTTACCATGGAAATCAAACAAAACAAATTCAAAACAAAAAATATTTTCAAAAAGGAAAACAAATACACAGTTCTTAATTCATCATTAAAATACACCATCTATAATGCTGGATCTAAGTCATCTATTTCATTTTAAACCATTTTTTTTTGTAAACGCCACTTTGCATATTCTAATGACCCTGATATCCTATGCCCTTTGACCTCCTGACCCCTGTCTATTGATCGATGGCTGCATCATCTTCTGTGTCATCAGGCAGATCTTCAGTGAAGGCTTGTACAATGTCTGATTGTTGGCGGTGGTATTTTTTGATCTTGTCCACGGGTTTGGGGTCAAGGTCAATGATCACCACAGAGAACTGGTATTTCCTGCCACAACTGTCCGTTAGCACCATGTCCTCGTTCTCACTAGGTAAATAAAAAAATCAGAGTTATCAGTGAGGCCCTACCTTCAGCCCAAAATAGTTTCCCAAAGATGTCAATTTGGTAATAGTCTTCACCAATTGGCTTGAATATTAGTAGAGGTCAACATGTACAATATACCAATTCCTTCATTAATTAAACAAAATTTTCTTACCAGTCATTTAGGTGTAGTGTACATTTTCTAAATATTTCACACTGTTATGAAATTTTTTTCATAATTCCTGTAACACGCGAACAAAGAAGGAATTCTCTGGGTTGACCTCCAAAGTGGTGAACCAGTCGAATAACTTGTAGGCCAAAGTATGTCATACAGAAACTATGCATGCTTTGCAAAATAGCTTTTTTTCCACATCTTTACTTTATATAAAATTTTGTGGAGTTTACCCATGAGAAGAACTTTGGGGGAGGGTAAAAGAACGATGTCTGAGATACTCACATGTTCATGTTCGGCGAGATCTGCTGCATGGCCACCATTATAGAACAGTCCTGGGCAGTCTTAGAGATGTTGTGCCTCTTGACCTACAATGTAAAGTACTCCATACACATGTAATACATCATTAACATTTACTTTCATTTTCATGTTTCCTAAAAAAGTGTGTTTCTTGGATAATAATGTAAAGGGCAAGAGTCTAAACTTTAAAGACAATTACATCACCTTAATTAATATTCATATAACATGTTTCTTTACAAGAGACAGATATCCTCTATTTCTCCCACAAAATATAATGACTCCATATACATAAGACTTATATAGAAAAAATGTGTTTTATTTCTTTGTAACTTTTTTAAAAATTCAGCAAGATTTTAAAGCAATATGAGCAATGTGCATTTTCACATCCAGAAATTTTATTTTGCTAGCAAAATGTGGTATTATGATTAATTTGCTATGTAAAAAAAGTTAAACAAACCAAATAAGCCTAAATTAAATTTTTAAATATGTTTGCTGCATATCATTGTAAATATTCTACTTTTACTATACCAAAATATACAGCTATTTTTATTTTTATATGAAAGAAATTTCTACATGTGCTATGTTTTGCCATTTACAGGACGACAATAATTCAATTTTACTTCAATCAAAGCTAATAAAAAAAAAAATTCCATCGCAAATATGAACAACAGAAGTTTAAAAATGTTTTAATTTTCTGTCATTGAATCAGTAAATTACAAATTTGCAATAAAATTTTCTGATGTCAAATATGCAGCTCATATTGCTTTAATATTTCTATGCAAATATACCATTTTGTTACCCGGCTGCACGTGGCTTGCCATCATCCTACCATACTCTACTAATTAATGACATTTAAATCTCTGCTATTGTAAACTTTAAAGACAATTACATGTTATTAATATTCATATAACATGTTTCTTTATAAGTGAATCCAAATTAAATTTTTCCCATCACCTATCATATTATGAGGCTAGGGCTTTGTAAATTAGCAAGAATTTAATATTTCTATACAAACACCATTTTCTTACCCATGCCATCATCCTACCATACTCTACTAATTAATGACATTTCAATCTCTGCTATTGTCTAGACTGTTATTATCGTGAATCCATATTAAATTTTTTCCCATCACCTATCATATTATGAGCCTGACTGACTGCGTATTCTATACTCTCTGTTTACCTGACTGACTGCGTATTCTATACTCTCTGTTTACCTGACTGACTGCGTATTCTATACTTTCTGTGTCTGTACGGCTCTGTGGGTCCTCTAAACATGGGGTCAACCAAGACTCAGAAGTAAACGGTCCGTACAGATTCCATTGAGCACTGAAACGTGAACCATAGCAACTCAATTACATAAGTCATAGCAACAGGTTAGTAAAAGTAGTCATTAAAATTGTGCATTTTTGTCAGTCTTATCAATAGGTAAAATATGGCTTTAAATTTACATTATTCAATGAAATAAACTTTTTTGCTACACTTATTTCCACTTCCACCTATCATAAATAGGAACAGTAAAACTTGTCTAATTCAGCTGTTGTGTTATCTGAAATCCTGCTTAATAAAATGAAAACTTGCTGTGAATTCAATAGTTTAAAATCTGTCTATTCTAAAATGTGGCCTATATATTCTATACCTGTATTCCTTCATCCTGACATACGGGGGGTGGATCTATTTATGTACTTATACTGTATATAAGTTAAATGGGCATTACTTTTCCTCCAGGTGGGTGGATCTATACTCCTTCACCCTGACATACGGGGGGTAGATTTATGTACTTATACTGTATATGTTATGTGGGCGTTACCTTTCCTCTAGGTGGGTGGATCTATATTCCTTCACACTGACATAAGGGGGTGGATCTTTTATTTATGTATTTGTACTGTATGTTATGGGGGGTGGCTTACCTTTCCTCTAGGTGGGTGGATCTATACTCCTTCACTCTAACATACAGGGGGTGGATCTCCTCAATGTCCATTTGGTCCAGCATCTGGACATGCAGGACTCTCTCCAGGACACAACAATGGGGGAGACTGTTTGGCTCTGTAACGGGACAAACAAATGTTGCCTGTTTTATATTTTTTCAAAGCATATTCAAATTCCTGAATTTAAAATATCTAGGAAATACAACAGTCTCTAAAATGTATTGTCAAAACACATTAAAACTCTAGACTAGGTTGTGTCTAGATAAATAATGCCCAGAAAAGTAAGGGTCAAACTCTGAATATCTGGAAAAAACAATGTCATCAATTTATGATTTCAGTTAGGGGAGCTTGTTCAGAGGGCTGTTGAACGAATATTTAAAACGATGAGCTCATTAAATGGCTGCCCCAAAATGGAACTCCACTTTAGCAAGGACTGCAAAGCAGAGAATCCCCTCGCAGATGGATTCTATAGATTTAGGCAGCATTCAACATCAAGCATCCCTAATGAAAATTATGTTTTTCAGATAAATTACCCCTCCCCTATCACCCGCACACGTGCCTTACTGAAACAATGTTGTGAGGGAACTATAATCTTCCCATAAAGAGATTTGAAATTCATGAACACAATTTTTTGGCAAAGGTAAACTTCTCTACATGGAAATTGTTAAAACTTAATGTTAATTTAAAGTCTCGTGTTTATGTATCATAATTGATAAATCATTATTTTGCCTGCCATTTCATATTATATCCCTACCTGAGCTTGCATCATGGTTTGTCTTGTATGAACTGTTTTGACAATGCTGAGTATAAATAGGAGACTTTTTGCGGGAGAGACTTGGCGAGTCCGTAGCTTGTCGATTACTGGTCCTCAGAACCGCGTGACTAGATCGATGAGATTCCAGTTTTTTTGGCACATACAGTAAAGCATCAATGATCAAATCAACAAATGTCTGCACTTCCCTGAAACGATCAAAAATAAATATTTACATTTTCTATGTTTTTCTAGTAAGCCAACAGCAAAATTGATTTGAATACCGTTTTCGTGTATATTCATGTGTAGAAATATACACCGAAAAACGTGCGCTAATGTGATAACACAATGAGGCAACAGAGACGTTAGAAAAATGCAACGAAATAGGGCAGCGAGAGAGTCAAATATTGAGTATATTTTTTATGCTTTATACATGGAAAATATAAATATAAAGAATTTTTTAAGTTTAGTGTGAATTATTGGTGTGTGAATCACACACACCAATAACTCACACAAAACTTAAAAACATTCCTTAAATGTCATTATATGCAATGAATGCAGACCAAACATTAATATCCCTTTCAAATTTTACTAAAGTGTTCAATTTGCTTTATCATTCATCTTCAAAATTTTTAATGCCCCCTTCCCTATCTTTCTATCCTTAAATAAATGCAATATATCCCCTTTCATCCTGTCCATCTCATTTCTGCTCTGTATGAGCTTATTTCACAAAAATTAATCTTGGAAATGTTTTGTCAAACACGGAGTTAATTATCTCCCTTCTACTTTCAGTTGACTGTGACTTACATGTGCTTTCTCATTCCATTCTTTAACCCATTCACCGAATCTCCGAAAAACTGCTGTAGAATTTTACCAAGGTCACCTTTAGAAAACTCGCTGTATACCTCTTTTCCATTCTACAAGAGGGAAACAATATCATCTCAATGGTGTTCAACAAAATAATTTAGTAATCTGAATTAATCACTAGAATAATTTAAAAAACAATACTGTCAGGGCTGTCCCCAAGAAATGAAATAGAATGGGACATTTTATAAGAAGAGGATCTGGGATTCCTCCCTTATGGGAAGTTGAGGAGGAATACCAAAATATTCGGGGGATTACATTATTATAGGTGGGGAAATTTCCCAGCCCTATAAGGTCTTCGAGACAACTTAAATTTATAATTGAAATCCATATTATGATTCAGTAATATATGTACAAGTGAATTAAGACTTTGAAATTATTTTCCCTCATATAAATAACAAAAAAAGTACAATTAACCAGAAAAAATCATATCAGAGTACCTAATGAAACACCAATTGCTTTATTTTTAACAAACACATGTATTATATAATAGCAGTTTTAATAACTATGCCCCGTCTGTCAGCACAGTGTCATTAGCCTGATGCAGCATGTCACAACAAACACGATTTGGACTCTCGTCTGGCATGTTGTTGATACACATCCCGACGATAACAGAATAATTGTCAGAATATCTCGACAAAACTGTACCCAATGCCATCCCTCCCTTTGTCTTTGTCTAAACATCCATTAAAGGATCACTTCATTATAAATAGGGATCTGACCTATAGGACCGGGCTTGGTTTTATTCTCTACAAAAAGCTTGTCGATTTCCGTTCTGATTAATGAAATTAGGCTGAATACATATAACAATTTGTTTTCCCTAAATCTTTATTTCAGTGAGTAGAGATAGGAGGAACTTTTTTTTTATTGATTTTATTGATTTTCTGAGTTTGTTATCTCCAAATGTAATAATTGATATTTGTCTTTACTTCTTATTGTGCATAAAGGTAATGTCTACTGCTGTCTCTGAAATTCTATTCTTTATGTCTTGGCTATTTATCCATGTATATAATAAAAACTTGTCATTAATGTGTGAATGTGTGCAAATTATAAAGGCCTAAATGAAATCCAAGGGAGTGCATTTACTGAAATATGTAGCCAAAATCAATGTGATTAAATTCTAAGGAATATATACAATAATTGAAATTCATCGCAGCTCAATGCTGCCAAGAATACCCGTATTGAGTAACACACAGTGAGTTATTCTTGTCCTCCGAGAAAGTGTGCTTATACTGAGGTTCGTTCCACCTGACTGACAACTGTACATTGGATTGTTACGATTTGATATCTCTCTAGTGTTTCTTATATCAAGAATGGGCATGCATAAGGGACAGAAAATTGAAGGAAAAATACACAAGTCTATAAAAAAAGATAAAAATTAAAATAGTCTTTGAAAAGGCGAAATTTAAAACTTTGTAAGTGTTGTACCAGGTGGATTCGAAACCCCTGACTTTAAAAAGAAAGTATCCAAGGTATAAAAGTCAGTGAGCTAGTCTAAATATAAGAATAGATGGCATAAATTTAAACCAGATTATGAAAATCTGGTTTCCTTATTTTGTGTAGTTTTTTTTGTGAATTTCGACCCCAGGGCAGGGGTGCCCCTAAAAAAATCTTATCTTAAATTATTCCTTACATCCTAACCTATCAAAATATCACAATTTTTTTTAGGGGCAGGCCTGCCCTGATGGACTTCAAGGCCAAAATTCATGCAAAAATCAATGCTTTAAAGGACAAAATGGTGTTTTGATCAACTTTGGAGGTTTATTGTAAAGTTGTAAATAATAAATTTTAGGTATAAAATACAAATTCAAAAAAATTAGACATATATACGGTAGAAAACAACAAATAAAGATTGATTTTTAAATGTCACTTTTTGCGGGAAATTGTTCTCTCCTATAGGTCAATTCTTTTGTTAAAGCGAATACATCCTTTGTCTGCCGATTTTATTTTCACCACAAGAAATTGGAGTGGCTCTAAAATTGTGCTGACTTAAATCAATAAAATGTCCCATCTTTTGCCTACCTTTTATTTTTAGAAATTCATTATGGAGTGAAAAACATGAAGTGTTGAGGTATATGTTGCTAACACCTGATCTAATAATTTCACATGTATTTCAATATCAAACCCAACCACAGTGTGATTCACGATAATAAAATCATTCCTGTAGGTTTATTACTAATCACTTCTTCATGTTTTTAATATTCACTTCTCTCTATCAGGGTAAAGAATTGCTAGATTAAATTGTTTGTGTTTAAGGTCAAGATCTAGTAAATGAAAGGTGCCTACAGATTTATCAAATTTGAGAAATAAATTCCTTTATTGATGCTTTACAACTTTAGCTTGGTCAAATAAGGTGTTTCGGGGTATAATTTGTAGGTAAACAAGATGAAAAACTGTATTTTAAACTGTCATTTTTAATGGAAAATTAAGAAAACCAGTCATGAATATGGGAGTTTTTTTCATATTCGACAAAGAAAATGTATCCAGATTGCCTACAGTCTCACAGAAAACGATAATAAGTATGTTCATGGCCTCTTCTTTAAACCAATATCAAATTCAATATAGGTATCCAGTTTACTTTTCATATGATTTCAAATTGAATGACATGAAAATATCCTATTTTCTACATAATTCTGCTATAGCCGAAAGTACGGGAAAAAGAAAGTTGAAATTGATTATGACGTCATAATGGATCTAGCACCAAAAAGCTAGTCTAAAGTTATTTACTAGATCTTGACCTTAATTTAATAATCAATGTCACTGAAGACAAATAAGCAATTTTAATTTTCAAAGGATTAAGTGTACTTTTTAAGATTTCTATATAAAAAAAGTATCTATAACCCTTAGTCTATAGCTACAGTTTGCCTTGAAGTTAATTGATTTTGGTCAAATATATTCGTGAACCTTAAAAAATTGGTATCTCACACACTATCTTGATAACCATGCATATGTCAAAGTGATTTGGAAGTCCCAATTAAGGAGGTTGGGGGGTCAACAAATTAACCACAAATTAACCACCAGATTTTACTAATTTTTTTAGATACGGTGTCTTAATTAAGCCGTCAACTATCATTTTTGCAAAGAAAAAAATTCATAAATTTTAGTTTTAAAATTTGATCATTTTTTATATCTTTATATGGAGCTCTTCTTTTAAAGGAGATCAAAATAGTCTGAAAATGGCTGCCACCCCCAGCTTCTTTAACACTTATTCTTCAAGTATTTCGCCCTGGATATCTTGAATACTCAGATATCTTGAAGTTTTTCGTCAGTTCCATTTAGTTTGAGACAATGAGGTTTTTGACAGTATTTAGTTCATCATGATTTTTTTTTAAATACAAAGTATCAAAATATGTATTGTGCTTATTTTGTTTTAAAATAAAACAAACTTGTGTAAAAGTCTCGATCTTTGAAGACTGTTAGACATAATGTATTAATTCATCTTATTTCTTCCTTCAAAAAATATTTTTGGTTAAAGTCAGTTTCCTGAATTAAAATCTTAAAACAACAAATTGATACAGCCTTCATTAAAGCCACTCAATATTTTCTCAGAAAAGTTAGTTCAGTTAAATGTTCATGTACTATAAATTTGATCGATTAACCATTAAGTGACAAAGCTTGATTCACTGTAATAAACTATGCATTTTAGATAGAATTGATATGCTTCTTATGTATATTTTTTATATAGACATTTCCATGCTAAAGCTTTCAATATCTGTGTTACCTGACAGATTTTGCATTACCTGACAGATTTTTAGGTTGTTCTGGGGAGTTACACACAAACCATGTAGAGCATGTCTCATTCTGGCACGATTCCTGAAAATTGAAAAACAAATATGAATGTGATTAACATTTATCATAGGACATTTCATGCCACTCCACCTACAAAATGGCTTTTAATCATCTATAAATCAAAGATAACAGATGGAAGTCTTATACTTAGTGGAAAACCATTCATCTCCTTTTTTTTGTAAGATTTACGCTAATGTATCCTAAGAGAGTTATGCCCCTTAGACCACTAGATTAAATGATGTACAGTGTAATTTCCCAAAATAAATCACTTCTATTGAATTTGCATCATTCATTTAGAATGTTCCTGAATGTATGGCCTTATTTTCTCTGACTTACTATTAATGCAATACCAGATTATGTACAGGACAATATAGTCAGCCCTATATATAGACCTCAATACTGATTACTTCAACATGAAATTTAAGCTGATAGCCTTCATGCAATTATATTTGTTGATTGGTAAAAAAAGTCAAAAAATTTATTATATTTCCTTTTCAAGCAGGAAAATAAAGGAATTTAAAACTGAATATTGCATCGCGATGCAGGCCGGGGCATAGTCATTATTTGCATAATTTCCTTTTGGAGATATTGCATATACATACAACTGTAACATTTTTTCAGTCATATATTAACAAGTTGCATAATCATAAGAGATAAACCCAAATGCAGTTAGGTACTGACATACTTATGCAGACTTCACAGATTAAATAGGCCTTCCTTCCTCATAAAAATTCCCCATTACTTAAAATAGACTGCAACATATCATATGACACCACGCAAAGAAATTCCCAAAGTTATCTATTTAAAAGATCCAGTAATATGGACTGTAAAATAATTATAACATAAATTTGAGAGAGAGAGAGAGAGAGAGAGAGAGAGAGAGATTAAATTTTTAGTTATCCAAAGAAATTAACATATACCATCGAGATGAAGATTTCTTTTTTTCAAATCAAGTACATGTACTACATTAATTTAATGCATAAGGGCTTTATAAGAAATGGTTCACTTTCAAATGTAGACTGAAATATTGCTTATGAACGAATGGTAAATTATGGGTCACTTGAGTCGATTCAAAAGATTCCACTGTGTAGTAAGTCATGTGATCGGCATGGCAATGTCATGATCACATAACACGGAACATCTTCTAAGATAACAAAACCTTGTTCATGTGAGATAACATTCTACACTTGAGTGCTCATGTACACAGATAGACACATTTTACACAGCAACGTACAACAAAATAATTCTTGAAAAAAGAAAGGAAAAAAATGCCTGGACAGCTTTATAAACTGGCTCGAGATCGGTATAGTTTTAAAATGGTTTTCTGCAAGAAAGACGTGCCAACTTGAGGATGATGTGTGGCTGACCGTTGACAAATTGGTCAAAAAGGCCACAACTCATTTTTTTTTTTTTTGGTTAATTATCTTTTTTAACTTTCAAATTTCTTCACAGTCACCTCAAACAAAAAGTATTTCATATAGTATCTTAAAATTATAAAATTGTTACCAAGATATTACAAAAAATTTCTTGAAATTATAAAATTGTTACCAAGATATTACAAAAAATTTCTTGAAGTAACATTATCATAATAACCAACAAAATAGTTTTATATATTCAAGTCATGCACCAGTGTTAATTAATAACCAAAAAAATTTAAGGACATAAGTCCAAAATACATATTTCAAGCCTTTTTCCTAATTATCAAATCAAGGAAATCGAATCACAAAAATGCATTGCATGTGTGATAATCATGAGTGTCATTACCATATATCAACGATTCTAGAATAAATTAATGACTGCATGAACGTGAAACAAAAGGCTGCTTTAACTTCAGGAGAAAAATCGAGAGACCCCAAACTGTCAAAGCTTTGTCAAGGTTCACCATAAGTGTTGAAGCTAAGGCAACTTCAAAATGTCTGCCAAACTTCCTTTTGTGCTAGAAGTCAGGCGCTGCTGTTTTGGTCCCGTTAGAATTACAATGCACAAAAAATAATTTGAGGCCAAATTAACATATAATTAGGCTGACGTCAAAAGCGAGCATTCATTAACAGCCCCATTAAGAACTGCTTCGAGGATATAATTGTCTACAAAATGCATACCAAAGGAAGATTTTAATGAGGTAATTTACTTTAGTTTCCCAAAACTTCTTGATGTTAATTAAACAAAAAATCAAATAAACGAATCTGTAAACAAGTCAGCTGCTAGCTAGGGCATATAGCTCATCACTCTGGCATTTACCAATATACATGGAAAATAAATTAATCTATATACTTTTCATCATGTCCATTTACCGAAATTATCTTTTAATAATAGTAAATGACTGTTTCAAACCTTAAGTACTGTAGTTCTAAAGAATGTATAAGATTTATAACACGAATAAGGATTACTTTAAACCTTGTTGATCCTTGTTATAGGTATTAAAATATCATATATTTTGCCAACAGCTCATATGTAGTTTTCAAACCACATGATCATCCGAATGTTTTTTATTTCTGAGTCATTCCATAGATTTTCAGCAGATAAGCTAACGGAACCAATTAACATATTCCTATCGGGTTCAAACAAAGAATAAAATGCTATCTCATTTCCCTCCACATTTAGTATAGATATATAGCCAGTATCCCCCCTTTCCCCCTTTCACACAGTGTTACCCCCTTCTTTTATCAAATTCGCTTCGTAAAATTACCCCCTAAAACTTGAGTGCCTCAACAACAGAGCCACACACAGCTATTTTTAGAACACACTGAAACTGGAAAATCAGCCAACAGCTGTTGACATGCTTGAAAGGGCAGAGTAAAAACATGCCCCAGATAAAAGGAGGCCCTCAAATGGGGTAGAAAAAATTGTGAACAAAGGAACAAAGAGTGAAGTGTGAAATTAGAGAGGGCTCAGATGTCCTTCTCCAGAGAGTGTAAACTCAAATGTTGGATTATCCTGGTTAAAGCTAGGGTGATTATAATTCCTCAAGTACCATCATAGAAAAATATTTACAGAAATAGAGAGAAAAAGAAAGAAAGAAAAAACATCTGTAAGGGATTTAATTACAGCTTGAGGCTACATTCACTGCACTGCTTGTTCAGCAACTTTTTTTGTATGTCCAAACAAGTTTTGTTTGTAGATAGTATATCAGTACAAACAGAACGCTGCAAGATTGTGTCACAGTCCTAATATAATCACAGCAAAGTGGTTCACTGTAATCTGTATAATCCTGATGACATTTTCTTTAATCCCCCAAACAAGAGATTATGTATTTAAAATCTGATTTTCACTCCCACTGGCAATAAACAATACATGACCTCATTTCCAAGTTTGGAACAAATTAAGTCGATTAATCCTCTTAAAACATATCCTTTAATTTATTGCATAATTTACATGAAATGTGAAATTAAGAGTTATATGTATGTTAAATTATGCTGCTCTATTTTAAAGTTTTCTGAGTGATTTATCAAAGGAAACATTAGTTCTTGAGACCCAGGCCATATACTCTTTTTCAAAGACTTAACTTCAGAGAATGGTACGGTAATTAAATTATAGTAATAAGTGGCTCTTATTCAACATTCTCACCATTAGGTATTTTTCAAACATTGCCTTTTTAGCATGGAAAAAAAAATGAAAATTTTTGTATAAGGCCCATAACACAATGATATATTGGACACTTGGACAGCTATCAAAATTGAAATAACCAAATCATAACACCTACTCATGAATTATATTGCCAGGTATAAACCAGCCAGTTTATAACACAATGTTACACACTGAATTTATTTATAGTCTCATTTCCATCAGTTTGTAAGGCCCATATCTATATTAAGGTCTATCAAAATTCAAATAACCAAATCATAACACCTACTCAGAATATATTTATACTCTCACTCTTCCCTGGAGAGCAAACTATGAAAATTTAAAATTGACTGCCCCTTCTGCCTGACATAAATCTACCAGTTCATTAATACAATGTACAAGGTCCTAACAGCCTTATATGTGGTTACATTTACATATCAGCTAACCACTATAGATCTGATAATGGGTAAACACAATTTCCTGCCCTCAGAAAATAATGGGTCTCTGGGATATAATATATAGCCTTAACAAATCAATATTCATCAATGCTTGGATCAGCTGATTTCTCAGATCTATATAATATGGCAGGGAAATATTGATCTGGTGTCAATTTGTGAGGTCAGATTCCCCATCAGTATATAGATCGCTCTCTTAATGGAGCAAAGTGTTCAATGGTTTCATTAAGCCCCCTTTAGATCAGTCAATACACATGGCTGATATCATCCAACCAAAAATAAAATGTATAGGTAGTAACAAGTCAACTATTTATGTACTCAAAATGGGACCAGCCAAGAAAAATTTTCGCTGAATGTAATTTTTTTCAGAGCCAAATTAGCTGATAAGGTTGAACTTCAACTAAATGACCAAGCGCTCAAGGGGGAAAAAAACCCAGTATACTTATGTGTTACCTCAAATGACACCTGCATAAACCTGCACTTGGCTACCTGTATGCAACACTTGCAAAAAAGTCGTAAGCTCAGGCCAATTTTTATGTAAGTTTCAAGGTGGCCAATACACAAAATGCACTCAGGGGCCTGTGACTCTTGTCCAGGTCATGTCCAGGGGGGTTATATGATGTTAGAGGTACAGTCAGCCTGGTTTTATGTACAGATGCATCAAGATTTGATAGCCTGTAAAGCTGGCCCTGGCAGTGAGTGGCCCTGGCTATGAGTTTAATACTACTGAAGTGATGTATAGCTCTATTATAAGTACATGAATATGAAGTCATAGTTAATATATCACACAGACTTCATGGCTCCTGAGACCAATTTGAATCAGGGCTTCAATTCACTTAACTGCATTAAAGAGTTTCAGTATGATGTTTTTACTCTCCACAAAGAAAATGTGGATATCAATTTCATATACTTCCAGAAAAAGGGTAAATTTCGTTGATTATGTTTATATTAAACCAGACCCCTAAAAACAATTTAATGAGCTACAGATTTCATCAAAATTGATTCCAGTATTATTTATCAAGTCTGGTATCAATACAAAATCTATTTGAAATGTCTTCCAAGTAATCTGCAATATGATTCAAAATCATTTTATTAATCATTATAAAACTCAGTGAAAAATAAAATTGAAATTTCAACGTAATTGGAGCTAAGGTGCTAATTATTCATTCAATAAACTTACAGATATATATCTAATGGAAAGTATAGGTACCGGGTAGTCCATTTAACAATTTACAGCTTAAAATATCAATTTAATGTGACATTACATGAAGACCTCTTGCAGTTTAATTCTGTTTTTGTATAACAAAAGTACTACTAAGAAAGGTCAATATAAAAAAGGCACATCATATTTGCATAAAAGCTGTAATTTTTAGGGGCCCTGAGGAGATGCTTGTCTAAATAGGCCTGGGTCACATAAATAAGATCAGTTTTTGGTCTATACTTAAGTGGATGACACATTTAAGCCACAGTATTATACGTTTTACTTATTAATACATCAAGTCTGAATAACATACACTGCAGGGAATTAGGTTTTGTTCCATCATGCACACATCAGGTCTGATTTTCAGTGTCTTGAGCATCGATCCCTCCATTGTTACTCTAATTACAATTTCTACATTTTATGGTATCTGTTTTCATTCATAAGAAATGTGATTTCTGTAATATGATTCTGGTATTGCTACATAAACACCATCTGCCACTAAACAATTATCCTACACCCTATCCCGATCATCCGTCAAAACAAACCCAGTATTCAGGTACCCCAGCCCTCTCAAAGAATAACTGTATTGAATTCATAATGGTCCATGCCCCCTATGAAAATTACTTTCTAGTCCTATGTGTCGTACCACACGTGCAATAACGCGGTGGCTTAATGCTGGGAAAATTCTCCAACAAAAGAAGGGCCATGGATTGATTTATCGTTCCAACTGTCAATTTACGCCGAGGACAAGGAAATCCCGTCCAGGGTGAGTCTGCGAAATCATTGTCATCGTCCCACCAGCTGTCGTCTCACGGACCATTGTCAGGCCGGTGATGACGGCACGCATGTTGGATCCCGGTGACAACCCACAGCCTTTGTTAATGCGAAAAAAAAGATAATCGTCGCTGGCACTTACCCTGAGAACAGATCAAGTGGACAATAGAGACTGGTCTTGGTCCATCGCCCCTCTTTGGCCTGTAAAAATAGAATTAACCAAAGTTTAAATCTTGGTTAGAAATTGTCCACAAAGATTTATTTGGTGGCCTTGCCCTTCACACTTGAAGAAAAAAAAATTCAAAACATTGTTCTGGAAATATGTTAAAAAGTTCAGAAAAATTTAAATATTAGAATGCTTTTGACATGTTTGCATGTAGAAGTTAGAATATAAATAGCCTGAATTATAAATATAACTTCAGATTTATGAGGACATGCAATTCCTCAGGAGCTGTCACTATAATTACTCATTAATACAAACATTTTCATTTGCATAAAGCGATATTTCCTTGCAAGCAACATAACATATAACAAAAAAAGGACCCAACTAATTGCAGGTATATTTCCAAAAAAAACATGGTGCATAGTACAACCGTTTGTTGACCACCTGCAGTATTCATATATACATGAACAACTAAACATGGATCATTTTTATCCACTTTATATGTAAAAGTAGTCAAAAAATATCATTTGGGGATGTTGACCAGTACTTAGAAGTATGAGCCTGCTCATGACTGCTGGTTTATTCAGTGAACCAAAAAATCTGTCCATGTTAAAAACTGTCCTCACGTCTAATTGTCTGTAACATACTTACTTACTACCTTAAACTTCTCATATAATATGTTACAGACTTTATTATAATTTACTCCATGCCTGCTTTGATGAATTTTTTTCAAGGAGAAAATATTGGGTACATTTTCATTGATGACCCCCCCCCCCCCCCCCCCCCCCCGCAACTCTGCAAAAAAATAAAACACACACACACACTCTCAATCCATCCAACCCCATGACTGGGAAAAATGATCTCCAGTTACTGTATAATTTTTCTACCAAAGTTTTCCAAAAAAAAAATTAATTTTCTGCTAGCCTAACGAACACTGCAATTTGCCTCAACCCAAGTCCCTAACATTATAAACACTGTCAATCCTATAACCTTGTACTGACAGCTAGACCATATATAGACCAGGACAGAAAGCGAACAGTGACCTGAACATCACCCTCTATAGAGGAACTAACATCAGGAATACTAGCATGTGGATAATTTCCTGCAAGGACTTACTGATCTTTTATAGCTATTGATCAACTCGATGACAAAATTCAGAATTTTTAAAAAGGGGAGACACAATAAAATGAGTGTGTGTGTGTAAGGGAGGGTGGGGTGGGGACTTGACATTAGTAAAACAAACTAGTGAAAACTTATTCCAACATGCATTTGGATATGAATCTTATGTTGGACTATAGACAGGGTGTTGGCTAAGAGTGTAGAAAATCAAGGAAAACAGTAAAATGGGAACAAAATTTAATGTCCGATTTCACAGTGTGACAGATTATGCAGGTGTCGAATTAGACAGTTTTCACTGTAATATCAATACATCATTAATTGAATGGTAATTTCCCTATATCACCAAACAGTGATAAATTTTATACATTTTTTTAAATAATACCACACTTTCATTTAGCTACTGGTATTCTAAAAGTATAACAATGAAATCTAGCTGGTAGAATTTTAAAAACCTTTTATCTCAAAATGTGAAATGCTTGTATCAATCATTAACCTCTTTTCCCGTATACAATACGGAAATCGTGACTTCTGAACCAGAAAACTATTGTATTAACAACGTCTGTTTACAACTCCAGGAAAACCAAAATATCTGAGGGGAATGCTCGTCCTTCACCTTGGGAAAAAGAGGCAAATGATCTGATTTAAAATAAATCATTTTCATTGATTTTATCATGTTTATTTCACTTATTTTCCAGCACACATTTACTGTTCAATATGACACAAATTTACTAGAACATACCATTGTTCATAGATTAGTAATAATCAAAATTATAATTGCCTACAGTCACTTTTTGATTCCACTTACTATTGATTTTAGTATACACTTTCCTTCCCTGAAACAAAATAGTCAAAACTCATTCTCTCAAACTCAATGGGACCAAGAAAAATGTCGTGATATCAAAGCTAGGATACAAGATATCAAAGGTAAAATAATTAAAGAATTAGTGGTTGGGACTTCAAAATTACTTCGCCATATTCGTGGTATTTAAGATATCAGTGTTCGAGACACCACAACTGTACGTGAAAAAACCTGTTTTGTAGACTTCTAGAATAATTTTGTAGCAATGAATTAAAAATCCTTATATTATTATATCAACAGCGACTAATGGAACATGTGTTTTAATTTTATCTCATTTGTTCAAATCTCGTATCTATCAATGCCATCAGTCGCCGCAAGATGAGGAAACAAGACCCGAAATCAATTAATCTCGCGAGCCTCATTAATATACATAAATTCAACACATATACATTTTTAAAATTCAACATAAATACAATATCTTTTGTCTTAAAAATTAATTAGACATCTAAATTCCATTTTGTGTCACCACATTTCATATCAAGCATTGCTTTAATTAGAAACATTCATATTTTAAGTCATACGTTTTCTTATTAATTATAAAACCACCAAATGCTTTTAATAAAAGACTTTGTTGTCTTTTCTCTGAGTGGGTCAGCTCACTTAAAACATTGAAATAAAAAAAACATAAACGTGTAAAATGAAAACGTGAATGTATAATCAGGTACGCAATGTGGAAATGATTGATCCTTTAGGCTCTACGGATCGGCAGATACACTCCACACAACAAAGAACTAACAGGTTGTGAACTAATAGAGTTGTGCACATGACTAGTGAACCTTATAAAGCTAACGAGATTAATTGAACGGTTGTCACATAATTAGTTATGTAGAAGGATATATTCCTGGCCTATGTTATAACGATTATCTAGGTGTATACACTACTGCGTAGCTAGATTACATCCAGTAGTGATCTTGTAAGGACACATATTATGCACAGATTGATAATAAACACTTGCTGTTTTCCTCTACCATATCTGGACACAAATTTTTGTGTATCTGAATTAATAATTACTTAAAGAAAATTAATTTACATGACTATTTCATTATCATGTTTGTTTGTTTGAATGTTGTTTAAATAATGTCCCTTTTGAGAATTTTTCATTTCTATGGAGATGCCACCACTTGCCGGTGGAGAGCTGCAAATTTTGTCCTATACTTGGCACTCAGGACCATTCATGAGCAGTGAAGGTCCGGGTATTAATTGAAACACTATATATACAGTGTATTCTTTTAAGGGAGAGGGCTAAAATAGCTAGGCTATACCTTGCTTATCCTATCTTTTTTAAAAAGTGGACAATAAAGTCTTGAATATTTGATAAAATTTTGAAATTGATGATTAATTGATAGAGATCTCCACTTATCAAAATATAATTTTCTAAATGGACATGATCAGTTATGATTTTTTTTGGCTTGGTGATACACTTGTGTGTGGGTAATTTTGCACCTTGCACTCTATTAAACTAAGGTTTCATACTGAATTTATAGTCAAAGTACAAAAAATCTGATATCAATTAAAGTAGGTTAACAATTGTACACACACACTTTTTTTAAAAAATTTAGAACAATAGGCTACTGACATTTGAAAGCTTATCAAAAAGAATATACAGGTTTATCAGATTAAGGCCATTAAACTGCTTCATAACCTAATTTTGTTGGAGGGAGCTTTACACTTTGAAATTTAAAGTCTATTCAAGTGGCTTAATCAATGTCTTGCATTCAAGTGGTGCAATATCATAAAGTGCCCTGTAAAAATCAGTCATGCATGCTTATAAAAACTCCAAAGGTATTTCTTAATTGTCGTCAAAAATAAATCCTATGAAATCAACAGAATCTGATATTGCGAACTTTCAAACTTATTTTTTATCCTAATTTCCTAATGTTAACGACCTGTTGTTATTGGATGGAATGTATGTGATGCAGATTTCTATAAAAACAACAATTCTTTGTTTACAAAATATAACCACTGAGTACCATTGAAAAATATGTATACAATTTTGAGAGACTGAGTGCATTCATGCTCCAGATTAACCACACAAGCCACAAAGATCTGCTATGTCTACTAGTCCTAAACATTCTAGAGGAGTTAGCTATAGCTCTCTACATGGCAAATAACATGTACGAGCAGATTAGCCATTGAGGTCTTTCCTCTGTCAAGAAAAACCTAGGCGGATTCTAGTAACAGCTAGTACATTCACTGTGTACTCACATTCTTGTGACCATTAGTTATGGCATGTTTTCAGGTTATATATATTTCATGTGCTTACAAGTATATGTGTACCTATTTATTGTGTGATAAAATGATAGGATTTTCCTTTTAAATTTCACCTTAATTTTTTTTTTTAAATAGGAAAACAAAATCTTGTTTTTACTGCATTCACTAATATACAGTCCCATATTGGAAACCTATCCACGATGTACAGACAAGTAATTCTAGTTTGGATGTCAGCTGCTGTTTTTCAATCTAGGGTTCAGTGAATTATAAGGAAAACGTGCATCGTCTCACAGTCTGCTTGCAAGGTTTTACTAATAAGCAATACGGCATTCAATTCTTATGTCTTCAATTTTCATTTTTAAATGTCAAGTTGTTTTTCAAAAGTAAAGTGACAAAAAATATTACTAGATTGACCTCTACTTAACACTATTAATATTTTAAAATCAATTGGAAAATGAGATATGTCAAAATTGATAAAAATGAAGATAAAAATTGATTCTTCCAATGTCCTAAAAACAAAATACAACAAAGAGGCTAAAAGGCTTAAGAGGATATCAAAGACCTGTACGTGCATTATAGTTAGAAGAGACTTTCATTCATTTGCTTGTTAAATTTCACCCCTGCGTATCGCTGAGTAATAACCTTTAATTGAGGCACTTATGTAGTAAACAGAGTAAAGACAATTATTTAATTTAATTATATAATTAACAATTCAACATTTTTACTATGGTAAATTTTTTTTTTACAGATTTGGACTCGGAATTTTAAAAATCTGAATGTGTTACATTGTTTTGACTTCAAATCGGGATCAGTTCGGTGTTTTGTTTTTATTTAAGCTGGCTCAAAAAT